TTCAGAACTGATGATGATTAAAATGACCGAAGTGCACATAGTACACTATTTAAAATACACATTGGGTGCTGTTAACCTTACATTTGATGTGTACTTTCATGTTCCTGAACAGTTCTGAATTGTATTTACATGTATCCTTTGTGCACTTTTATGCATTAGGGTGCTATTTCATTCGTGCGACAAATTTTGTCGTACAACAAATATATGCAAAGGTCCTCGGATCTCTCTATCTTACAGCCAATTAACAAGCTTGAAAAATTTGTCATACGACAAAAACGCACAAATGAAATATTCCTCTTAAACTTCTATAGCAAATAAATCCGTATTAAACTAAAAAACACTATGGTCTGTTTTCTGTTTCACTAGACTGCACTAGCATTCTCTTTCTCACTTTCACAAATATCAAACATATACCTACCTCACTTTCCAAAAGTGTACGCTAGTTCAGTCACAGAAAATAAACTTATAAATTAAACGTACATATTCTTTTGATCATAAATAAATTAATTACAATTCAAAACTATTGATTTACATACTTGACGGATTCATTTTCTCAAATAAAGTATGTATCATGATGAAAGTAAAAAAATACTTCCATCATGTGTTCACGTATCATTCACATATTCTCACACATTGAATCGTACAGATAAGATAGCCTGCATTACACTATTATAAAAATTCTGTATGTATTTTTCACTATTATCGCGATAAGTATTCTTCAATTAATACCCAATTCTACTATTAAAAATTGTAACTATATTGTAACAAATTGTAAACATTTATTGATACAAACTGATATAATTAGTATCATTCTATCTTTGTTATTTATGAAATGTCAAGAAAGATAAAATGATGTTTGTGTCGACTTGTGTCACAAAATGGAGAGTTTTCATAATAAACATATGTACAATAAAAATTAATCACTCTGCGAGATAACAAGGTCATTACATTTATATAATTCTTATTCTATAAAATATGTATTTCTCATTCTACATGTATAAGCAATGAAATGCTTATGTACTTATGAAATAGTGCCGAAACATTACCATATTATATCTTTTCATATGTTTTTTTTATACATGCTTCCTATTTACTGATACAATTAAATCGACACATTACATAAATGTCGTTTTATCTTTTTTGACAATTCCATTCTAACAAAAATAAAAAAATATTTCTGTGGATTTGTATCATAAAATGGAAAATATCTTATATATTTGTATATATAATTCTTTCCCAATATATGTACATACATTTATATTATTTTAACAAATAAAATAAGCTTGAATAAAATGAATTTGCTTTGTTATCAATATGATATATTTTGCTAAACAAAAATTAATAGTAATTTGACTTCATAATATTAATAATTTTTCAGTCAACAATATAAACGTAATGTAACATTTTTGAATAGGAAATTATATAATATTGTTAGTTTGTTTTCAAGATGTTATAACATATATAATATCATAATATGTAATAATATTGCAATTATAATGTAACATAAAGATCTTTCAAAATTTCACAGATGTCTGTAATGTCCTTCAGATGTTTGACTCCCATGTTGTCTAATCTTGTTTTTACTGCTTTGGTAGATATATAGTGGGGAGAAGTGCAGATATTGCATCATTTATAAAACCTCAAGGTTCAAGATTATTCAGTCAAAAAGCAAACCAACAAAGTAGCAATCATGACTGAAACTGTGGAACAAATTTTAGAGCAATATATACCACAGAACAAATTGGCTGAAATAAAACGTATTTTATATGGGCATCCATCTACGTAAGATTTTATATTGCAAAATATATATCTTTTTCTATTTATGTATATATAATTTTATATATAAGAACATTTAGCCAAGGTTCCTATCACGCTTAATCTATAAGAACATTTATTTAATTATACTGATTAAAAAAAAAATTAAACTTTGCGAATAAAGATGTGTATGTTTTTATTTTGCAAATATTATCTTATAATTATTTGATCACGATAAAAAATATTTAGTTATAGCAATTTGTTTGTTTAATGCATATTTATAATATATTGAACGTATATTTGATCAGAGAATACAAGAAATTTATAATATAAAGTTCTTGATAGGATATAATTTTGTAAAACAAAATTTAATTTAATTTAATTTAATTTAATTTATGCACAACATAAGTTTTATTTGATGTTAAAAAGTTAAAGTAATACACCCTTATGTATTATTTTTAGTCCATTGGGTATAGAATATGAAGATAAAAATTTTGAAGTAAAAGGATGGCAGATGCTTAGTCGAGTCCATGAAGAGCTTCGTGCCCCACGTCTAGTTCGCGTTGGACTGATTCAACATAGCATAGTAGCACCAACAACGGATCTTATTCAAAATCAGCGAGATGCAATACATAATAAAATTAAATCATATATTGTACAAGCAGCTCAATACAATGTTAACATTCTATGTCTTCAAGAAGCATGGCGTATGTGAAAAACCCATTAGTTAATATATAATATAATATAAATAATATATATAGTTATGAAATTATATTATATAACATTATAATTTTATTATATATGCAATATATAAATTTATATAATAGATCTATATGATTATTGCAGCTATGCCGTTCGCTTTTTGCACGAGGGAAAAGTATCCATGGTGTGAATTTGCCGAGGAAGCTGAAACGGGACCTACGACTATATTTTTGTCTGAGCTCGCTAAAAAATACAACATGGTAATAGTATCACCGATTTTGGAGAGAGATTCTGCTGACGGTGATACTATCTGGAATACCTGCGTAGTGATCAATACGGATGGTACAGTCCTTGGAAAACATCGAAAGAATCATATTCCTCGTATCGGGGATTTTAACGAATCGACTTATTACATGGAAGGCAACACAGGGCATCCAGTGTTTAACACTCCCTTTGCACGCATCGCGATTAATATATGTTACGGACGTCATCATCCATTGAATTGGTTGATGTTTGGCTTGAATGGAGCGGAGGTGAGTCATAGATTATTAAGCATTTCTAAATAAGATAATAAATAAATTTGGCATGCAACATTATTTCTTATAAAATTTGAAATTGATTTTTTTTAGAGGAAAAATTTATCATTTCACAACTTTTCTAATTTCATAATCTAATTGATATATAATCTTATCCGAATTTCTCAACCATATAATCTCCTTATATTTTTCAGATTGTTTTTAATCCATCTGCAACTATTCAAGGATTATCAGAACATTTATGGCCAATCGAAGCAAGATGCGCTGCGATAGCAAATAGTTATTACACTTGTGCTATCAATCGCGTAGGAACTGAGCATTTTGCAAATGAATTTACTTCTGGTGATGGAAAACCAGCGCACAACGACTTTGGATTCTTTTATGGTTCTAGCTATATTACTGCCCCTGATGGCTCGCGAACTCCAAGTCTAAATCGGCACAAAGATGGACTTCTCGTTGGAGAATTGGACCTTAATATGTGTCGACATGTGAAAGATATTTGGGGATATAGGGTGAGTGTTTCATATTCTCTTATTATTCATTATATGTATAGAATAATATATAAAATCATTATGGCAATAAGTTTGGCAAATACATTAATACTTGTAATTCAAGAAAATATTAAGTATAAATAATAATACTAGGTAGATGAAGTGAATTAATTCACGGAATTAATAAAAATATGTACTTTAAATTTATTCAAAAAAACGAATTATTTGAAAAGAAACGCATAGAGATTTAAATGAATTGTTATTAAAATATGATTGTGATAAGGAATGTATTTTATTAAAATATATATTCTAAAAATTCTTTTTTATACCTTCAACTATTCAAATTCTACTTTATTTATTTTGTTTATTTTGTGTATCTTTTAGATGACACAACGGCTCGACATGTATGCTAAAGAACTTGCTGAATATGTTTCAAAGGGGAATGATAAACAAGATTAAAAACAAAACAATGTACTTATAAAGCCTTTACAAAGTTATAAATTAAAATTAAGTTTATTAATTTATAAATTTTAATAAATTAATTCAAATTTAAATGTTCTTGCAGCATCTATTGCTATAAATGTGATCAATTTTCACATTTTTAAAAATAAAATTCAATATTTTGCGCTTCAGACTCAGCATAGATTAAATTTTTAAATTTAAAATTTTTTAAATGAGTTAAACAAATTTTTCTAAGGTTAATAAAATTTATATTTTTCTATGCAAACGATTATTTATTCCATATAATTTTTATATACATAAATTGAAGTTCATATACATGAACTTCCATAAAATTTTCCATAAAGAGAAAATTATAGTTTCTAGTATCAATTTCTAATTTCTTGTGTTTTAATAAGATTTGTAAAATTTATGTACATTTTATAAAAAATTTGCGTTAGTCTAAAATCTTTTAATTGATGGTCAAAGTCTCACTATAAATGCTTCAAAACATGATTTATCAATCAGAAGAATTTTACTAAGTCATTGACCAAATACTTCAAAGTATTTGCACATCGTTCTCAATATAATTTACAATAACATTTTGTACAATATTAATATATAAAACCTATCTATTTTCAAATTTTGTTTTCGTGAATTGATAC